CCACCACCACTGCCGCACACACACACACACACACACACACACACACACACACACACACACACACACACACACACACACACACACACACACACACACATTATTTAGCCTGGCATGTTATGAATCTACATCAAATCCTTTTATAGCTTGCTCAGAAAGAATAGCCTTACGTGATAATGTGCTGAAAGGCTATCAGGCTGCAGCAGATGCCCGGCTTCAGTGTGGGAGAGTGTCCCCAGACAAGGCTTTCACAAGCTGGGGTTTTTGACATGAACGCTCTGGGGACAACCATGGAATCGTGGCTGTATAGCGGCTGCTTTGCTGGCCTCCCCGTGGCAAAGCTCAGAGCACATCCAGAGCCCTTTCATCTGTGAAGTTGAGACAATAGCAGAGAAGCAGTAGCGGTTTTAGGCACGGGCAGACAGGGCAGTTGCCCGGGGCGGCATTTTTTCATGACACAAAAGGGGCGCACAAGCGCTGAGTAAAAAAAAAAAGAAAAAGAAACCTGCGCAGCACCGAGGGGTTTCTATTATCTGTCATTTGACAGTGTCTGGATTGGAAACAGCAAGTTGGCGCCCCCTGCAGCTGCAGGCGCCCCGTGCACCGTGTGTGTATGAAGAAGAGGAAGGGGAGGGGTTGCGGCGGGGGAATTCACCTCTGGTGGGTCCAAATGAAATGAGCGGGTAGGGGCTGAATCAAATGTATCAACATGGCTAAAGTCAATCACATCTTGATGTTCTTCCATATTTCATTCATAATATCATAAACACAGGCCTATCATTCTTTCAGGTGTTTCTGAATTGTGTGAAATGGCCGAATAAAAAAAGGAAAAACAAAACGATTTTGTGGTCACCCCCCCCCCCCCCCCCCCCCCCATCAAGGTCAAATTGTTTAGTCCTGACTAAAGTAAACTTACTGAGTCAGGAGCCAAACAGAAGAGATGAACATAAAAAGGCTAAAACCACCAGGTGCCCCATTCAGGAAAAAAAAAGAGCAGAAAGATAAAGGTATGTACACTCTCATGATGCATGTTTTCAATGTTGTGAACCAGTTAACTGGGATTTTAATGGTTACATTCGGTCAACTAATTGCTAACAGAGCTAATAGGGCTGAAATATTGAAACGAATATTCAAATGGTTCGAAAAAATTCCTTGAATCGTTTTTTACTGATTCAAACTAGGATTTGTTAAATGCTCACTGCAGCCCGTGGCCTGCCTGAACAACAACAAACACATGTTGATCATGTTCACATAATAATAAATAAAACAACTGTACAAGCAGAAGAAAACTCCCCAGTCACCACTAACTATCCTGTTTATTTATTGCAGATGGCTGCACTGATTATTTTTTACATGATTTGTTCTGTAAAAGTTGGCATTTTTGGTAGTCTACAGTTTGTTATGTCAGTTTAAATTACAATTTCAGAGGCCATTCTAAAATATTATGGGTCATGATAAAGATCTATTGGAGATCTACCCCAACTTTTGGACTGCTCTGCCAGTCACTGTGGCTCAAGCTGAGAGGAGCTTTTCAAAACTTGATCAAGTCATACCTGAGGTCACCTATGTTTCAGGGGCGGCTCACTAACCTGGCTCTGATTAGTATCAATCACTCAGTAGGGGAGCAGATTTCATATGATGACATTATTGATGACTTTGCATCAAGGTTAGGTTTTAATTTTAGTTTGTGTTTTCTGTTCTAAGTGCAATGCTGTAGTGATTATCTTTAGTTTGTTATGTGTGAAATATTTTTTGCTATTTAGAATATTTATCATCGATTATGTGCATATATTCTTAATATTTAGTTAGTTTAGTTGTTTTTGTATATTTGATTCCATATATTTTGATACAGTATATAATGTATATTGCTTTACATTCTGACAACTTCATAGTAATTAATGTAAATATGTGCAACTTAGAAAAATGAATGTTCAATAGTCGTTCTAATAAAACATGCCTGTTTGTAGAAAACGTGTGTTCGTGCAGGTGGGGTGGTGTGGTGGTGGTGGTGGTGGGGGCGGTTGGGGGGGGGGGGGGGGGGCGCTAAAAGGGGGCCTCGCCCGGGGAGTGATTCCATGTAGAACCGCCACTGCAGAGAAGCTTCATAAAGCATCCAGGAAAGGGCAAATAAATGTGAGCATAAACAAGTGCAAAGAAAAGTACAATCAAAGCCTTGTTGGAGCACAGGATTGCCTTTGATGGTTCATCTGATCTGTACAAGTGAACAGTATGCACGCACACAATCCAGTCACTACTGGCTCCATGGGGAAAGCAATTTGTTGACACATTTAATGGTATATATTAAAACAATACAAAATCCTGATTAAAAATTTGTGCTAGCACAAATGAGCTCAATGCTGATTTCAGATTACGTAAACAAACAGGATTCCCCTCACTGGAACTGGGGCTTCCTGCGTGACATTTTACAATTTAGCTGATTGTTTGAAAATGGTCAGAGCGCTACTTTAAGATGTGGCTGCTCTTTTTATGTTAAGCATCAAACTAATGGGAGAAACCGCTCAGTCATTAGCTAAATGGTTCTGTTACATTGTTAATGGAGTCAGTCAAGTATTGTGCTTGATTTTACCATTTGTTAAATGTACTTTTTATACCAAAGTGACCAAAATACAAGCTGTTAATGTCCTACAAAAAATCTATTGAACAATCTAAGGGAGCAATTACTGGGTAAAGATCATTTTGTCCCGTTCATCTGCAATGCGTTACCCTTTGCTGCTAACAGTTCAGATTTGTCCTCTGTAAAGGACGTTTGTAAATGCAAATATGCCTCACCCCCTGCATACTACTGAGCTGATGTTTGTTTTGCAGAGAGGACTTGTGGGACATTTAAGTGATACTAAGATTTGTAGGCATGGAGTTTAGGGATCGTCTGTTTATCTTTAAAGACCAAGTTCACTGAGAAGCCATTTTTAACTTGTTTTTGATGATCACTTTGAGTTTAGCATGCAGGCTGAATGTGGAAACTGTGTTAATTGTGTTACGCATTTAGCAACAGAACACCACTGGTGTGAGAGGTTTGTGGCTCAATAATAGCAGTAACAGAGAAACAGCCGGCTGCTGCCACCTCAACTTTAGAACTGGAGTTCAAAAATAGAAAAACACCATTTGAAGTCACAGACAACAACAAATGTTTGGGTGTAGAAAACGGCAACTGGTGTTTAGCACTATCTTGTATCTTCTGGCATCACAGGTTTCTGGTTCTGGCAGAAACATCTCAGGGAAGATTCCCATGAGGAGGGGTGAGTGTTCTGTGACCATGTTTGAATTCAAAATCTAGCTTGTTTACAGATTCGCTATAGCAGCTTTAATCATTGTGTTATATATGTATGACTTTTAAACTTATGACTTTTAATTTTAATTCTGTCGTGGTGAAGAGACAGCTGAGGAAGCTCCACATTTACCGGTGAATCTACGTTGCTACCCTCGCCCACGGTCACGAGCTTTTGGTAGTGACCAAAAGAACGAATTGCGGATACAAAAGGCTGAAATAAGTTTTCTCTGCAGAGTTTCTGGGCTCTCCCTTAGAGATAGGGTAGAGGCTCAGTCATCCGGGAGGAGCTCAAAGTAGATCCGCTACTTCTCCACATCAAGAGGAGCCAGTTGAGATGTCATCTGGTCAGGATGCCTCCTGGACGCCTCCTTGATGAGGTTTTCCAGGCACATCCAACTGGGGGGAGATTTAAAGGAAGACCCAGGACATGCTGGAGGGACTATGTCTCTCGGTTGGCCAGGGAACACTTCGGGATTCCCCCGGAAGAGCTGGCCCAAGTGGCTGGGGAGAGGGAAGTTCTGTATTTCTTCTTCTTTTTTTTTTTTAAAGCGCATCTGATTTAATGTAAGAGGCAAAAAAGTAAATAAATAAATAATGTGACTGATGCTCAACTTTATACATAAAATATTACATTTAAACTTATACAATTAGGTTAGGCTTACTACTTAAATATTTGTCACATTAAATATTAGTAATTAATTGAATGTGTAAATTATAAATATGATTCATTTTCATGTAATTCCGAAAACATGATGTATCAAAATTAAAACAAAAAAAATTATTATCATGAAATGTATCATTATAGTTATCAGATTAGTATCAAAAGAAATAAATGTATTCAAAACACACGGCTGCGTTACTCGAGCTGACTACAGTGATACATATGTCTATCTAAAATCCTTTAAAACTTCTGACACATTACATCCACAAAAGTAGACACTTGGTTATTACTCAAAGAAATGAATGTTGCTGGAAACGTTTATTTATTTATTTGTTTGTTTATTTATTTATTTTTCAGGAGACTCACAGATGGTGTATGAGCAGGAATGAAAGGATCAGCCTGTTTGGGGTGTTTTTAAACTCACTGAAATGAGTTAAAGAATTCTCCTGCCACATATGGGTCTTGGTCTCTTTCTGGATGTTATTCTTTCTCTTTTTTCTTTCTCTTCTTTCAGATGGACTTTAATGACCCATTTATCATGCTTGTTGGAAGCCTGTATCAGAGCTGCAAAGACCCTGGAGAAAGAGTTTTGCAAAATCACCAGAGCCTGGGGCTGTAGCGCTGATGCAATGAGTCCAGTCTGAGCAGATACGTTTTTTTTCTCTCTCATTCTTCTAATAAATAAAACCCTTTAATATTCCTCTAATTCACTCAGGTGCTTCTGATCAAACCAGACATGTGCTCCCTGGAGATTAGTAAACTAAATGAACCTACATGAGGTGCTGTAAGCCATCTAACGGGTAAAAGGGGGGCAACGAAACTTCCAACTTTATTATATGCAAATCAAACATTTGCCCAATCAAATTAAATGTGAACACACACGGGTTGAGTGACAGGGGCCGATTTACGTGTGTGTGTGTGTGTGTGTGTGTGTGTGTGTGTGTGTGTGTGTGTGTGTGTGTGTGTGTGTGTGTGTGTGTGTGTGTGTGTGTGTGTGTGTGTGTGTGTGTGTGATAGAGAGAAATAGGCAGGTGGAAAGGGGGAGGGGTCGGGGGTGGTCCAGACAGTCAGTCCTTGTGTAGCCTACCTCACACGCTCAGCCTCTGCGCATCACTGAAAGGGAGTCCGGTCGGCGTCTACAGCCAGCCCCGCTGCCTGCCTGATTATTAATAACACATCCGCTCCAGCGCTCCTTCAGCACCTTCTACCCCCCTTGTTTATTCCTTTAATCATATTTATTTCCCTTTGTGAGGATCCGAGGCTGAACTTGAACGCCTTTCTCCGGCGTCAGATGGAACACAGGAGGCGCGTTTCTTCTATCCTAACTGGGAAGCAGCGCACATGAGGGGAGGACTAAACACAGCCAGCCGTGATTCATGGACGCACCGCAACGCGCATCATGAAAATACTACCAACAACACCAAGGTAGAGCGACACATTAGGATCCAACACTCTGATGCTTGCATGTTTTCATAAATAGTTGGATTTATGCGGCCGGTAGTTTGTGAAGTGCCGGGTGGGATGCGCTCGTTTTATTGTCTCATCGCTGCGTTTTTCCGGGAAGGATGCGGAGAGAATCTGACAGCCTAACCTGTTCCTGCAGTGAATGGGCCTTTTTTTAATTCAAAATGTCACCGAGGAGAAAACATCGATGCTCTCGGTCTGTGCTCGTTAGCCGCACAAGTCCTGTTTTTCCTTGTGAGAGTGGAAAGCGAGCAACCACCTCCTCTTCTCTACATAAACAGGAGGATGTAGTCTGGAGCCGGGAAGAGGAAACAGCCTTATTATCACAGTAGTTTTTAATCCAACAAATCTGATATTTTATAGATTAAAGCGATCCTCGGAGTTCTGATACATCAGTTAGTATTTTTATTTGTGATTTTACTTATATAAATAAAGTTCATTACATCCGGGTCCAGCTTATTATTATATAAAGTCCTGACAGGTAAAATCACTAATAATAGGGCTTAAGTAATACTCTTGTAAATGTGTTACTTCCAGCATCGCATCCCCTTGACATGACATTGGCAGTTCAGCTTGAAATAGTGTTTTCTTCTCTTTAAACGCATGGTACTTGTTTTATTGTTACTGGAGATAGAACAAAAACCAGCTGGTGATAAGAGCTGGCCAATAATCAGCAAGATCAGTTTAACTGTTGATTGGCCAATCAGAAACTCAAAAATAATTTAACCTGCAGAATTAATCAAAAATTGACATTTACACTCTGATGCAGATTATTACATTTAGCAGTTTATATTTTATTTATAAACCTTTTAAGGTAATCATCAGAGCTGGATTGATTATGGATTTTGAGGGTCAATACTGGTCTTTGATTCTTGTACAGCTGATGATACCAAACCAGCCAAATATGATTTCCTTTTCTTTAGTTTGTGGAATTCTGTTTTGGCCAGCATGAGTTAGCACTTATCAAATGGTTTTGTGTGTTTATCTCTCTCTCTCTCTCTCTCTCTCTGTGTGTGTGTGTGTGTGTGTGTGTGTGTGTGTGCGTGCGTGCACGTGCTTAATACTACAGGTGAAACAGAAAAAGATTCAGTATTCTGCAAAAGTCAATTTTTGTCAGTACTCCATCGTAGACTGAGAAACCATCTATAGGATGCCCAGTCCTGGTCCTGGATGGCCACTATATCCAGCAGATTTAGTGGTTTCTCTGCTCAAACACACTGGAATCAGTGGTTGAATCCCCTGTGCAGCAGCTCATCGGGCTCTGCAGAAGTATGTTAATCACCTGCTGATTGAAATCAGGTGTGTTGAAGCAGAGTTAAAAGTAAAACGTGCTGGATACCAGCCCTCCAGGACAAGGATTGGGCACCCCATCTAAAGGCTTAGGAACACTTTGCAGGTGTTTTGGATTAATTAGCAGATAAGAGTGAGACACTTTCAGTCTAGAATATTAAACCTTTTTATAATATTCTAATTCTCTGAGATTTTGAATTAGGGGTTTTCATCAGCTGTAAGCCATAATCATCACAATTATAAAGTCAAGTCAAGCATTCTTTATTCTGGACTTTTAGTCCACTTCACAGAAGCATAAAAAACATCGTACAGATATAATAAAATGAAATTAGCACAATATGACAAACAAAAAAATAAGCCTTCAAGGAGGGAGACAGGGAATAATTGAGGAGTATACAGAAGCAACTGAAGATCAAGATCAGAGACAGCAAGGAGGCATACAGGAAGAAGCTGGATAACAAACTACAGAGGAACAATATCAGAGATGTCTGGTCAGGGATGAAGACGATCACAGGCTTTAGGCAGAGGAAGGATTGCACCGATGGCAGCCTGGACACAGCCAATGAACTGAACAAGTTATTCAACAGGTTCAGTTCAGGAACAAACCCATCATCCTCCTCACCTGTCCCCAGCCAGTGAGAAATCCCATCATGCTCTAATCCAACATTTTCCTGTCACACGCCAGCTCTTTTGTCCTCTAATGTAGTCATGGACTCTTCTGGTTCTATAAATCCGTCTTCAACCAAGTCAGGAGATGCTGCTGCCCCATTTACCTCCCCCTCCCACCTATCTGTCTCTAGAAGTCAGGTGAAGAGGCAGCTGGAGAGACTGAACAGGAACAAGGCTGCAGGTCCAGATGGTGTCAGCCCCAGGGTACTAAAGGCCTGTGCAGAGCAGCTCTGTGGGATTCTGCAGCACCTCTTCAACCTCAGCCTGGCCCAGGAGAAGGTTCCAGTCCTGTGGAAGACATCCTTCCTTGTTCCAGTTCCAAAGAAAACTCAACCATCAGTCAATGATGACTACAGACCAGTTGCCCTGACATCCCACATCATGAAGGTCCTGGAGAGACTCCTGTTGGTCCACCTGAATAAGCAAACTAGAACATATCAGGACCTGCTGCAGTTTGCTTCTCGCCATGGAGTTGGAGATGAAGATGCTATCATCCCGCTGCTTCAACCAATCCACTGTCATCTGGACAAAGCAGGCAGCACTGTGAGGGTCATGTTCTTTGATGTCTCCAGTGCATTTAACACAATCCAGCCTGATGTACTTTGCCAGAAACTCCAGAAGACACAGGTGGGGGCCTCAACTATCACCTGGATTAAAGACTACCTGACAAACAGACCACAGTTTGTGAGGCTGAAGAACTGCACATCAAACCAGGCGATCAGTAACATTGGAGCACCACAGGGGACTGTACTCTCACCATTCCTTTTCACCCTGTACACCTCAGACTTCCAGTACAAATCAGAGACCTGTCATCTACAGAAATACTCAGATGACTCTGCAGTTGTCGGGTGTATCAGAGATGGACAGGAAGCTGAGTACAGAGAGCTGGTGGAGCGCTTTGTGGCATGGTGTGGAAACAATCATCTGACCTTGAACGTGAACAAAACAAAGGAGATGATGTTTGACTTCAGAAGAAACAGGGTGGAGTCAAACACAGTTTCCATCATGGGAGAAGAAGTAGAGGTGGTTGAGGAATACAAATACCTTGGAGTTCACCTGGACAACAGACTGGACTGGAGAAAGAACAGCGAAGCCGTTTACAAGAAGGGGCACAGCAGACTGCACTTCTTGAGGACGCTTAGGTCCTTCAGCGTCTGTAGCAAGATGCTGCAGATCTTCTACAAGTCTGTTGTTGAGAGTGTAATCTCTTCAGCCATCGTCTGTTGGGGTAGCAGCATCAGAAGCAGGGACCTGAAAAGGCTCAACAGCCTAATAAAAAAGGCTGGTTCTGTTCTGGGGACGACTGTGGAACCACTGGAGGAGATAATGCAAAGAAGGATTCTCCAGAGAATCAAGAAAATTATGGACAACCCTGAGCATTCTCTTCACAAGACTGTCCGACAACAATGGCCGCTACTGGAGATCTTTCCTGCCAACAGCCGTTGTAATATACAATAACTCTTTGATAACTTGATTATTATTATTATTCTGATCTACTACAGCAATCAATTTCCCTCTGGCATTAATAAAGTATTTTTGAATTGAATTGAATTGAATCACGAGAGACAAATATCACGAGAAATCGAACCGAGAAAATAGTAACAGTGTTGTGAAAATAGAGTATAAATTATGGTAACTGTCATTTAAACAAGAAAAACACTGTCATCTTTGACTGGCCATTTATTGCACTGACACAGGTATTGGTTAGATATAACAAAGGCTTTACATGGAATGGGTCTATCTCATACATTAGTTTCACCTTTTAAGCTGAATTACTTTCACAATTGAAATTTAACACCAGATTTTGATTTTCTTTGTTACACCTGTATATTATTTATTGCAGTTTTTGTTTTATTTATTGTTAGTTATAGTTCTTAAAGATAAATCAAAATCAGCTGAAACTGGATCGAAAACATTCAGAAAATAGTTTCACCTCACAAAAGCAGAATCGATGCATCTTCAGTCTTAAATCACTTCTTGCAGTCCACTAGCGGTCCAGGCTTCCAATGAGCTCCTTAAACAGATATCATTTAACAGACAAGGACAATGATGGATGGGCAGTTAGTCCTGCGACAATCACAAAAGCACGGATTGCTATTTAATGTTTTTATAAAGAATAAACATTTGAATCTGAACTGATGTGCATATTTAGATAACTATTATCCTAAAAGCGAAAACGGGCCCTAACATCATTAAATAGCCACTGTATGTTCTCCACTGTGATTGTGGCTGTGGTACTGCTGCACAGGTTTTGGCGGACAACATCAGCTGATTGGAAATAAACCAAACACAGGGACTAAGAACTTCTTATCTACTTTAATTTTCAGAAGCCACACTGCAGCACTGGCAGAAGAAGTAGGAGATAAATTGAATGATTAAAATGGAAGATTCTGTCTCATGGCTGCAGCTGGTTTTTATTTACTTATTTATTTATTTATGTATTAGGGAGAGTTTTCGTGTTCAGCTGCATAATCTTTAACCTTGTTTCTACAAAAGTACCAAGGAATCAATGGCAAATGTTGTATTGGATCTAAGATCATAAATTAAACATAGGGCCATGATGAACCACAGATGACTCACCTTTGGTCGTAAAATCAGTCACAATACAAGTTATCTTGCTATTAACTGATGTATTCAGATACAAATGTGCTGAATTGTTCCCAGTTGTACAACTCATAGCATGTTGCCACTACATTTAAATGATATGAATATGATTTGTATGTCAAAAGTATTATGCAAATAATTTTAGTATGTTGTTATTTTGTAAATGCATTTTTTAGAAATAAATATGAACTAAAATACATATATTTCAGAATAAAAACAAAGTATTCACTGTTCACAGGGAGGACGTGGCATAGACGGCAGCTCCTGCTAGATGAAATGCTTCAGCCATGCAATGTTCCTGGAAGTCAGTGATTCTGCTGGCCTTGGCCTCCATCGCAATCCAGTACACAGCCATTCGGACTCTCACCTCCAAGCCTTTCCAGCTGTGCCCGCTGCCCAGCCCCCAGAACTGTGGTCTGGGGGCTCAGGAGACAGATCCTGCCTTTGAGCGGGGAGCAGCAGGTGGGGTAGGCTGTGATGACTACCCTTACTTTTCCATCAACTCCACTCGTAAACTTCACATTTTGGTCCTAGCCACCACACGCAGCGGCTCCTCCTTTGTTGGTCAGCTGCTGAACCAGCACCAGGAGATATTCTACCTGTTTGAGCCTCTTTATCACGTTTACGCCACGTTAGTTCCACGCCAGTCACACACCCGCAATCCCACGGACCGGCGGGTGACATTAGGTGCCAGTCGAGACCTTTTGCGCAGCCTCTATGGTTGTGATCTCTATTTCCTGGAGAATTATATAAAACCGACACCGGCAAACCACACCACTGACAAACTGTTTCGCCGCGGTGCCAGCCGAGCATTGTGCCAGCAGCCCGTATGTGATGCCTTTGGTCCCGGTGATCTTAATGTGGAGGAAGGGGACTGTGTGAAGAAATGTTCAACCTTAAACATGACTTTAGCGACAGAGGCGTGCCAGGAGAAGAAGCACGTAGCCATCAAAGTCGTTCGAGTGCCAGAGATCGGAGATCTGCGTGCTCTGGTGGACGACCCCCGGCTGAACATCAGAGTCATTCAGCTGGTCAGAGACCCACGTGGAATCCTGTCATCGAGGATCGAGACATTCAGGGACCCGTACCGTTTATGGCGCATTTGGAGGGCCACAGGGAGAAGGCCCTATAATCTAGACATGAATCAGCTTACAGTAATCTGTGAAGACTTTCTTGGATCTGTTTCAACAGGTCTTAGCCATCCCCTATGGCTGAAAGGGAAATACATGTTGGTTCGATACGAGGATTTGGCTAGGAATCCACTTCTTAAGACACAAGAAATCTATGACTTTCTGGGTTTGCCTATGGATAAAAATGTGAAACACTGGATACGTGCAAACACTCGGGGAAGCAATGAACCTTCAGCAAAACACAAGTTTGGGACAGTCCGGGACTCGGCTGCTAATGCAGAGAGTTGGCGTTTAAAACTGTCTTTCGACATTGTAGAATACACACAAACAGTGTGTCAAAAAGTACTAAAGCAGCTGGGATACAAAGCGGTGAGATCAGTGGAAGAGCTGAGAAACATGTCCTTCTCTCTAGTTCAAGATAAAATGTTTGTACCTTTTTTGTAACAAAGATAGTTCTCTAATAACTATTTTTGATATATTTATAATTGTTGCCTTATGAGTTACATACTTAGTTTTTTTTTTCTCTGATTTTGTTTCATGAAATTTGCACTAAACTTTAAAACATGTCAAATGCACCACCCGAAGTATGGATGAGTCCCTATAGACAGAATAAAACATTTCAAATGTCATTATTAAAAAAATATTCCTTGCAAAAGTTAAATTAACAATTTTCTCATGATTATAATCAAATGGAGGCACCGTCTTCATTATTTCCTTGAATGAAATATGTTATTTCAGCAAAAATAATCAAAATAATAATTACGGAGGCACCCCATGAAGCAGCCATGTTTTTATTTATTTATTTTTGGTTTTGTTTTTTGTTAGACATGTTCTGGCAAATTTTAACTGTACAAGCTCTATTGTGCAATAAATAGTGAATGTCGCAGTCAACCTTTACCACTGTGGCATTTTTATCTATGTGGGAAGAGGAGAGATACTTCTGACAGATGCCATGCTTGCAAAGGATAATTGCAGACAATTAATGGGCTCTCAAGTGAAAGGGACAAAATCCCATTGGAGGTCACGAGCATTTCATCAGAGGATTTACCACCATCTGTGACAGACTAACACACACTAATGAGAGGTAATGTTTAAATGTATTTATTTTTTCTAAATATGTATGTGTTTCTAAGGGGATTACACCATCTATAAATGAATGTAAATGCTATAGGTTCGCATGAAAAGGGAAGCAGACGCTCAGCCTTTTTTTTTTTCATAAAAATGCTGTAATTGGTTGATTTAAATTCAATCCTCGTATGTGTGTGCTAGAGTGTGTGTGAGTGTGTAAATCATTACATGATATTTCTTGCCTGGGATTACATTATTTATAGCACTGTTATCCATTCGTCAGCTGGAGTAGTTTGCTAAAAAATAAAGGTTGTTCTTGTTTTCCTGTCACTGTTAAAGCAGGGAGTGGGTGAGAACTGGCGCAGCAGAGCAAATGGATTCTATGCATTCTTTTTTCACCAAAAAGCGCAGTTACTGTGACAGCGTTGCATCTATGTTTATCTCACAGATAAAAGATTCCTAACAGAGAATCTTATGTCTTTGTAGAACAGGTTGCACTGCAGGTTATTGTTTTGTTTTCCCAGAGTAAGTGTATGATAGTACAACACCGCCACATTTCCCAAAGTCTGTTATATCTACATTAGATCATATACAGAGAGCTTTACACCAATGGTTGCCTGTAATCTGGGACAAATCCTTTGATCATTAGTGCAGCGAAGGCCCTGTTTCAGCCAAGCAACGTTAATAGTGGAAGCTCAAGGCTGAACCACAGAACACCACAGTTGCATGAACGAAAGTGTCAGTCTTCCTTCCAGCTACTTAAGATAATACTCAACATTCTGGACAGTTGTCAAACCTTGCACACACAAAAATGAAGTATTAAATACAAATGTATGTTCAAATTGCATTCCCAACTCAAGCATAATGTAGGGTGAAATGAATTGGCTGTGTTGGTTCATGTAAATTTCACCATATTATGAGCCGTTTTGATCTTCATGGAGTTGTTATTGCTGCTAAAATAAATATGGATTCTTTAATAGTACCCCCAGATGGTGCAGGGCTGTGTTTAGTTTCAGTTGGTTTGCATTTGACGTTATGTTCACTTGTTTCAAGAGAGGCTAGTGTGGAAAACTGTTTTCTAAATCCGTGTTACTCTAGATCCTGAGTGTGTGCTCAAAAATGCAGAGACACACATTTTAAGAGACATTTCGGTAAATGCACTTTATATTTTATGAACACAATTGGGAAATGCACTCTTGCACAAAAAAACTAGCAGATTATTTGACATAGTGTGAGGAAAAATCATCAATCTTGCCATATTTTATGCTCTAATGATAAAAAATGAAACATCCATGTAAAGTGAGATTTCAGCTTTAGAGTGTCTACATATTTCAGCTCTCCTCTTGCTTTTACCAACTCAGATTCTGCACAAGTCGTCAGCCACCATGCACATTTATTAACACACAATGGCCACTTGTTTCCCCATAAGATATAAACCCTGTGAAAGGAGCATCACACGCTCGGGCTCATCAGTATTGGTGACCGGATGTCCATTGAGATGCAGAGCACAAACCTTTGATCCTCCTCTGTTCCGAGACTGGAGGCAAACTCACCCTCTTTCTTTCTCCCTGTGCTTTCTCTGTCATCCACCTCTTCCCTTCCCTTTCTTTTTTCTTTCCTTTTTTTTTTTTACAGAGATCTCAGGGGATTGTTCCTGTGCTCCAGTGTTCACTTTGTGGTTATTTTTTTTCACTTTGCCTTGGATTTTTGTACAGATTTGATTTAGTATCAAAAACCTGGAGAGGTTGCAAAGCTGCACAATTCTGTACTAACATGATTTTCTTTGAGCAAATAAAAGAACATACTGACATTATTGGAAATATTATTTGTGTTAGACAAAAATACGATGACAATAATACAGCTCTCATCTTTTTTTTTTTTTTTTTTTTTTTTTTTTACATCGTGAGCTGCTTAGCAAAGCATTAAGCCCAACTTTTTTGGATAGTAAAGTCTGCTTTTATATCTTTTAAAACCACACTAAGATATTGCATGTTCTGCAACTAGAAATCAGATTAAAAAAAAGATGGAAAAAGGATTTTAATTTCACAGAGAAGGCTTTGCTTTTGCACACTTCTTTGCTGCATTTGTTTCCAACTTCTTGTGCCATTGATACTGTCCAAAAACGAGTCGTACAAACCTTTTAATCCAACGCTATTTGCCAGAAAGCAAAAACATGCAAACCAAAAGGAAATCAGAACTCCCTTCTTACAAAATGACAATAAAAACATACAATTATCATAACTGAGCTGTGGTGACAGCCTGTCAGGTGTGAACCCGTTCCTGGTGCCAGTAAGTAACCCTAACCCTACTAACGGATCTTAATGGATTTGGCAGTTTGGTGTAGCCATAATTTTGATGTCATTTGCATGTGCTTAACTAATTACTGTAAAGTAAAATGAACTGACATTATTAGTCAAATAAACGTGGGCATGTGCAATACCTGAACACTTTACTTAAAGGGATAGTTCTTATATTTTTAAGTGAGTTTCTGTTGTGAACATTTAAACCTGCTGCACAGTTCAACAGCCTCAGTCATGTGATTACTACTGTTGTCATTCTAGCAGAACAGAATAATGTAAAAATACTCCTTACAAGTTCTATGGCAGGGTAGAAAGGATATAAAGTAGTCTTTGCAGACATTGCTGAAATTTTCCTATTAGATTCATGTAGATTTGGTGCTAACTTCCAGATTTTTTTTTTATTCATATAGGGGTATGATTAATTATGAATTATATCAAAATAATGACATTGTTATCGAGGGTATGAAGTTAAGCCTCATCATCATCATCATCATCATCATCATTATTTGTATAGCGCTTTACAAAACACAGCCATACGGCTGACCAAAGTGCTGAACAGTCACACAATAATAAAAATATAACACATGAAACAATAAAATGCAACCAAAAATACAATAGAACAAGCCAAAAATAAAATAAGACTTACAAATAAAACCAATGGAAACATGTCTTCCAAGTATAGTAAAGTAAAGTAATAAAGTCCATCCAGCAGCTAACTGTTATATGCAAGGGTAAAATAATGTCTTTAATCCAGACCTAAAAACCTGTAAGGAGGATGCCTGTCGAACTGTGACTCGGAGTTCATTCCACAGTTTAGGAACACCAACGGAAAAAGCTCTTTCTCCACATGATTTGTAATGCACTTTCGGGACCTCGAGGAGCAACAAGCTGGAGGACCTAAGTGTGCGGCCAGGGGAATAAACTGAGAGAAGGTCAGATAAATACGCAGGGGCAAGACCGTGGAGGGATTTGAAAACAAAAAGTAGGAGTTTGTATTGAACCCTAAAAGTGATGGGCAACCAGTGAAGGGATCTGAGAACTGGTGTTATATGCAGGCGCCTGTCAGTATGTGTCAGGAATCTAGCAGCTGCGTTTTGAGCAAGTTGAAGTCGAGCGAGGGTTGATTTATTAACACCCAGTAAAACAGCATTTGAGTAGTCAAGCCTAGATGTGATAAAGGCATGAACTACTGATTCCAGATTCTTCTAGATAAGACAGCTTTCAATTTAACTAGATGGCGGAGTTGGAAAAAGCAAGATTTTGCAGTGGCATTAACCTGGGCATCCATCCTTGGAGATGAATCCATCTTCACACCTAGATTTGTTACAACGGTTTTTAGATTTGGAGAAATGGAAGAAAAATCTGGGGTTTGAAATGCACTAGGTCTGGCCGGATTAAACAGGATCAGTTCAGTCTTGGAGTCGTTAAGATGTAGACAATTTGTGGTCAGCCAACATTTCACATCATGAACGCAATCTAAAAGAGGCCGAATGGATTGCTGGGGTTTTACAGACATGTAAATCTGACAGTCATCAGCATATAAGTGATAGTGAACAGAGTGTTGTTTTAAGATTAAGCTAAGGGGAAGACGGTAAAGAGAAAACAACAGGGGTCCCAGAATGGATCCTTGAGGGACCCCACATGAAAGAGGAGCAGTGCGAGATGAAATATTGTTCAACACCACCCGTTGGGACCTGTCTGACAAATAAGACATAAACCAGGTTAGGGCTGTACCTTGTATTGCAGCAACCTCCTCCAAGCGCAATAAAAGGATATTGTGGTCGACGGTGTCAAAGGCGGCGAACAGATCGAGAAGTACTAAAACAACGCAGGAGCCAGAAGCAGTAACCATAAAAATATCATTGAAGACACGGAGGAGAGAGGACTCTGTGCTATGCAGTGGTCGAAAACCTGACTGGAAAACGTCCATTACGTTATGAGCAGCTAAATGAGTTGATTGCTGATCATAGACCACCCTCTCTAGAATTTTTGCCAAAAATGGGAGTTTAGAGATAGGGTGACAATTGGATGGAGCTAAGGTGTCAAGGCCAGGTTTCTTTAAGAGCGGCTGTACCACAGCATGTTTGAAGCCAGGGGGTGCCACACAGGAAGCAAGACTGGTATTGATAAAGTGTAGGATATATCGACCAATAGCTGGGAACACCTCTTTCAAGAGATGCGGAGGAAGGATGTCGTCTGGGGAACCGGAAGATTTCATCGACAGAATCAAATATTGAAAACATTAAAAGGGAAATGGGTTTAAAACTGAGGAAGGGCGCTGTATTTAAAGTTAAGGTAGGAAAGGTGTGCAGAGCGAGTGATAAGCTAGCCCTAATAGAGGAAACCTTACCTGAAAATAAGTCTAGAAACTGATCTGGAAGAATTGGTGCAGTAACTGAACAGTTAGATTCATACGGAACGAGAACAGGATTAATAGTTTTGTAAAGAACTTTCTGATTGAACCGGTTTGCAGAAATAATTTTAGAAAAATAGTAGCTTCTAGCGTGCATAAATGCTTGTTGATATTTGGACCAGAGGTCTTGCAGGATCTGATGAAATCTGGAGGTGGTCTTTTTTCCATTTGCGCTTAGCCCGTCTACAAAGTTCTCAAACTTCGAGTATTTGAGATGAGCCAAGGATCAGCTTTATGTTTGGAGTGAACAGGTTTAAGAGGAGCAACAGAATTTAAAACTGTGAGACATTTATCATCAAAAAATGCAATCTGATCATCCAGACTAAGCTGACTAGGCAGATCAGTCACAGAGAAAGCACTGACAAAAGACCCTGCTGTTTCAGGGTTAATGATGAGCCGTAGTGACCATGATGGACAAGGTGAATGACAGTTTACAAGTGAAATAATATCAAAAGAAATCAAAATATGGTCAGACCAGCAGACTTCTAAAAGAGATAGATTATTTAACAACAGACCAGATGAGAGCACAAGGTCAAGAGTATGCGAGTGTACATGAGTTGGGGCATTTACAGACTGGGTGAAACTGAAGGCATCAATTTGACTAAGAAAATCTATAACAAATGGTTTTTCCAGACAGCAGATGTGAATATTAAAGTCTCCAAGAATGAGAACATGTTGATGACGAGCAAAAATCTCAGCTAAGAGAGCAGAGAAATCAGTTATGAAGTTCCTGTTGAATCTGGGGGGTGGTAAATTACAGTTTTTTTTTTTCGATTGCTAAAACGCGTTTTTCAAAACTGTACGTTTCTTTCAAAACTACACACACACAACACCCCAAACATAACACACAAATTCCTAAACCGTGGCTTCCCTTTGCAACAAAACCCTGCCACCACATATCGTAACGTGTTCCCAAAATGGAACACATGTTTTCATTTGGTAAACACAGCCTCGTTTTCACATGACACACACATACTGATCATTGCTTAAACACAAGTAGCCTTTGGGTGAACACTACCAAGCATGGAAAGAACACTGAAGAGCAAAACTGAAAACACGATTGTCTAATGGAACACAATGAATTATACACTGAATGTGTGACAGTGCCCACTTTTCTCTGAGACAAACATTAGACATCACACACATTTTGAGACAAAACATTTTATTTTTAAACCCCCCACCCCCCACCCCCTCTCCCATTCAAGCATAATCATGGGGCATCATGCCTCCGGTCTCTGTCTGGCCAGAGGGCCTCATCAACATCACAGGCGATGTCCTCCTGGTCCAAACAGCGCTGGAAGTACTGCCTCGAGTGCCTGATGAAGACCTGACAGGCCTCAAAGGCCACATCTCTACAAGCCTCCTCCATGGCTTGAAGCAGTGGGACCTGGTTCTGTGGATTCCTTTCGTACACCTTCCACTTCCAGGCAAAGAAAAACTCCTCAATGGGATTGAGGAAGGGGGAATAAGGTGGAAGGTATAAAACAGAACACCGTGGGTGATCCTGAAACCACTCATGCACCTGGGCAGCCTTGTGAAAACTTACTTTGTCCCAAATTATTATATGGTTGACCCGCTGTGGGTTATCTATGCCATCAGGTTGAACAAGCACATCATACAGGCCGTTTAGGAGTTCCAGTAGCAGGGCTGTGTTGTATGCCCCTAGGTGGGCATGTTGGTGTAGGATGCCATGGTGGTTCATGGCCGCACACATAGTGACGTTGCCACCTGGGACCTGGATTATGGTCCACTGGCCAATCACATTTCTTCCTTGGCGCCTCCTTTTTATCAGGTTGAACCTAGCTTCATCTATGAAGATGTATTCATAGCTTTCATTGGCTGTGTCATAGTCCTGGATACGCTGAAGCAGACAGTATGAGAATACAAGTTACACAATGGACACAGAGACAGTATGCTACATTTAGACAATGTAAAAAAGGAACACTATTACAGAAGATTACTGTATAGTGGTACAATGCATGCATGTGTCAGTGATGAATGTATGGGACTTACAAGCACATACTCTCGACATAAGGCCTTCACACGGTTTGTGTTGCGTTAGAATGGAACCCTGTAGACTTGCTTCATTGTCATTAAATTTCTGTGAAGTATGCAATGTATTGTTGAGATGCTGATTGTGTGGAGGTCATTGAAGATGGTATTGTCAGCCAGGACCCTTGTTTGTTTCTGTTTTAGTGTGAGGGTATTGTTTTCACATACCATGTCTACAATGGCTGTCTCTTGTTGCTGTGTGGCAATTTAAGTTCTTCCTCCACTATGAGGTTCTCTGGCCACCCTGATAATTATTGCAGTAGTACTGTGAGCACACTGTAGTGTAGTGGTTCCCAAACTTTTCTGCTAGTGACCTCAAACAGATTACTGTAGACACTAGCCTAAGACCCAAACGAGTGAACAGCACAACTACAAGCTCAATGCATCACTTTGCACTGTTGTGTGAGCTTGTAGAGTTGCTTTTTTCACTTCTTTTTACTGAACTCATTTGTTTTCTAATGCTGTGTTTCATGGAATTTCTTGGATTGTTCTTTAAATTTCTTCAAGAAATTACAGTACCTAGGAAACAAAAATGACATTTGCTTTTCACAGTAAATCATGGAAATATTTGTTGTCTTTGAATCATTTTCCTTTACTTAAATGTTTTGAAATAATAATAATTGAGAACAAAATGTGGGAAACAAAGAATAAAGGGACCCAAAATAATATAACTTCAACCCACAAATGTGTCCCAAAACATTGTTTAGAAAAAGTTCTGTAGTCTATTGAATGTTGTATTACAATACATGAAAAATAAATTTCATACCTGTTCTCCATCCTGAACGTCCTTATGATGGTCGACCCTGTGAAACGGCTGAGGTTTGGCTGGACCTTCTGGCCAGCCTCCCTCATGGTCAACCCATGGTTGAGCACATGGTCCAATACAGTGGCACGAATGTCATCGGAGATTTGGATTCTCCTTCGTTCCCTTCCTCCTCCTCCTCCTCCTCCTCCTCCTCCTCCTCCTCCTCCTCCTCCTCCTCCTCCTCCTCCTCCTCCTCCTCCTCCTCCTCCTCCTCCTCCTCCTCCTCCTCCTCCCATACCTACTCATCTCCTTCTCTGTTGTCTGTTGTCTCTGTTCTCCATTGCTCATCAAACAAAACAGAGCGTCAAGCCTCCTTTTATGCTGCATTCCCTGATTGCAAATTGCTCACCAGACCTGAAAGTTTAGAGATTTGAATAGTTGTGTGTTTTTGGTTTAAGCTTTGAGAGTTTGTTTGACAAGTGTGTGTAAACGTGAAAATTGTGTGCTGTGTTTTGACAGCATGGTGATGTGAAATTGACATCAGAGTCGTGTAAAGGAGGACAATCAGAGTGCTAATATGATAAGGCAATCTTAAGTAGTGATAAATGAAGAAGAAGAAGAAGAAGCAGAAAATATCATTTCTATAGCGCCTCTCAAGATAAAAATCACGAGGCGCTAAATTGAGTCAGGCGATTGGAAACAGAAGTAGTGGTTGTGAAATGTGTGCCTCATTTTTGATTTTTGAGTCTTAGCAATCAAAAAAAAAACCTGT